TGTATCTGTATTTTAGTTTTTCTTTTTGTTTTTTATTGCGCATTTAAATGTTCTTCTATTTTATCTTTATCGGAGTTTAGACCCTCGTTGTCATTCCTACCTCTCAAAAATTAGCACTTTTCATCCCGGACGAGCCCCCAACTTTTTATTCTTTCTATCAAGTCTGTTACGTCCTGATAGATGTAGAATTTTTTTTTGTTTGGGCTCGGCGATCGACGTAAACGGACCTGACCGCACGAGCCGAGCGGCACGTTTAGGACTTGCGACGGGTCAGCGACTGGAAGAGTCGTTTTTACTCCGTCAACAAGTCAACCGCTCGTGGTTCCCTTTTTGGGTCAAGGAATTGAATCCCTATTACCCGGGGCGAAACCTTTGTGCGCAATTTGAGAGGGAAGGTGTGAGGGGGTGACGAACGAGGAGGGTGTGGTTAAATAAAAAAAAGAACAAAGTTTAATTTACTAAAGACAACATTTTAATTCAATTAAATTTATAATTACGATACAAAACTCAACTCTTATTCACACGTGTTTTATATTTCTATTAGTGTATTTTTTCACAAGTGTGTGTGTGTGTGTGTGTTATTCCTCAGGGGAGAGGACTAAGTTTAGGAAATCAAACCCTGTGAATTCAGGGTTAGGAAGATGGGGGAGGAACCGCGACGTATTCGACGGTAGTGGCTTCGGAGTTGACGGATATGTTGTCGAACTCCGGATCGTTTCGTGGGAATTCCTCCAGTTGAGCCTCTACTGGAGGAGGATAGAAGCGGACAGGCGAAGGGGGTCTGTACTCCAGGAACTCTTCAAGAGACGGAGAGATAGACCTAGGAGAAGGAAGTAGAGGAAAGTCGAACACGGGAAAGGGTTGAGGAGGTGGTTGAGGAAATTCCTGAGGAATCGGTGGTAATGGAGGAGGTTGGTCTGTTTGCGTGTGAGTGCTTGTACGGGCGTTATTAAATGGGGTGTGTCGCCTAATTCTAATGGGTCTTACGGTGACCCTCGCAGCGTATCTAACGTATGGCGGGAGGAATATAGCTAAACAGAGAGCAAATGCCGAGAGATCCGAGCGGTTCCGACGATTGTTGGGTCGCGGCGAATGTTTAGTTCTCACTGACAAATAACACAAAAAAGATTTTTAACCGAAATAGGGACGGATTACATAAAAAGAAATAAGAGAATACTAAAGAGAGGAGAAAAAAAAACAAATGAACTAACTTACTCGTTGTAGGATAGTTTCAAGTCGGGTTGACTATGTTCGGTGGTTCTGAGCAGGCGCCCCGTTGAGGGAAGGCGTTATATGAGCGTCGGACCCCTTTTTTTGTAAACGCGTGGGCACCCTGCTGCGGGATGGTGTCGTCAGGGTGATGGGCCTTCTACTTGAGATGCACCACGAGACGATCGCGACAAGGTATCAACTGACTTTACTCTTTGATTGCGCCCCCGAACTACTCGAAAAACTGTTTGAGCTAAACGGAATAACTGCGCAAACTGCTTGAAAAACTGTGTGTGATTGTGTCCGGAGCCACCAGAACACGGGTTTTTATACTTTTTCTTTGGGGTAGATCCCTTTGGAAAATCTTAGGTTTTTGGAGCGGGGATCGAATAGGAATTAGTCTTGCGAGAAAATTTTTAATGTGGGGGAGGATGGCGTCATTTTTAGCTAATAGGATTGGGTTTAGATGATTAGGTTAATTGAAATGAGATAGGAAGAAAGAGGCCCTAACGAATAAGGAATAGCGTCGTTTCGGGTCCATATATGATGGGGGTAGGTTTTTGAGGTGGCGTAACCCGGTTGGTGTTAATTAGTATAGGTGGGGTGCATCTCAGTGTCTTAAGATCTGGGTGGGCGTAGTCTTTAGACCATACGATGGAATGATGGGTGGTCTATAGAAGTGCTTGCCCCGATTCTCGGCTTTCGGATTGGGTGGTTAAGAATCGGTATATAAGTTCGCAAAGCCTTGGGTCACTGATCTAATAAATTTGACAGTTTACGACTGTCGCGTGCCCTTGGTGTCGCGTGGAGAGTGCGACTAATGCATCTCGGTTTCCCAGACCTACTAAACACGTGCGCCGTATCAGGTGTCGCGCCTTCTCGGCATGCGACTGCGGTCATTCCCCGATCGTTACTCGGTAAAACCCTATCTACTAGCTAGAGTTCCCGTAGGTGGAATCCAAAAATATGACTAGTTGGTGCCAGTTTTTCTTTTTATCTCTTACTCTAACCGTCTGGAGTCGGTTAAGGACTCCAGCTACCGCGAAGTTTTGACTTTTACGGTTTTTCTGGCGACGATAGGCACGCTGAGCGGCCAAGGTATTTTGAAATATCCATGCTATTTTTCTCTGTGAGAAGATTCGAGCTCCTGGTGTCTCATGAGAAAAACAGCTCTGGCGTTATAATATTTCTTAAGAGTTTTGTTGGTTCCGCGTTTACTAGGTCTGGTATTTAATGAAAAGAAAAGAATCGTGTAGTCTGATCAGGACGTAACAGTAGCAATGAAGAACATTTTGGCTAAAATATACAAATGTTAAGCTTTATATCTATATATGTACACATATTATATTAGAGATAAAATGCTAAATACTTTAACTTTATATATTCAACATACCTTTTATTATATATTTCACCCGTGCATTAATTTATCATGCACTTGAATCAAACACAACGCAATAATCGACTTCAACAATTCACTGCTATACTGCTTTCGACAATTCAGTTATTCTCTTGCTTTGCTGTCCACGCGCGTTGTCCACCATATTACTATAAAAAATGAATGTCGTAGGCCGCGACTCGCAGCCTCACCGAAAAGAAGATCGAGCTAGGACTGTGTGATCAGCGCTACACTGACTGATTCCTCTTCCTAGACAGCACAACATATTCAAAAGACGTCTAGAGAATCTTTTTGGGATTACAAGACGTCCTCTAGATATCCTTTGGATGTATTTTGATGTATACATGTGTGCTGTCTGGGTTAGGGATTATCCAGACACTTTTGTCTGAAGGTCTAAAGGATTACATTTTACATACGTATTTATAAAATAAATGCGATTAAATAATTTTCTTTATGCATATGATTATGCGGCTATGGAAGTTTGTGTAGATATAGGCTCTTACGTGAATTTTCCGAGCAAATTTTTCAGACAAAATTAGTACATTGAAATCAACATTTATTTACCTAAACTTTACAATAAATTTATTTTACTTATTTACCTAAACCTTACAATAAATTTATTTTACTTTATGCGGCATAAAATAAAGAAACAATTCATAAATTCATTCACATTTTTTGACATCACATAATGTTGCTAAAATGCATCATTACATAATATATTGCATTTAATTACATATGATGTAAATGCTTTGCATAATGATGTCGTAAATGTAATATAATAATCTGAAAATAACTTTATATCATATGGTGTTACAGCAGTATGACATAAAATTAAATAATTGCATGACATAAATTTTATAATTAGTTTAATGTAAAAATTGCTATTTTTTAAATAATAATAAGTAATAATACAATAATTCTAAATTTTCAATAAATTAATGTTGCATATCGTGATAATCATACAAGTCTATCTGGGGAAAGCGTGTCGAGAGAAGCGCTCCAGCCGCTCGAGGTCTAGTCCGGCTAGGTGCGGTGCGACGAAACGTGAGCCGGGCGCCGAGCCACGGCGCGTTTCCCCTCTTGCCTCTCCAACGCGCCGGCCGCAGCCAATGTATAATAGACTAGGTCGGGCTAGACCTTAAGCGGCTGGAGCGCTTCTCTTGACACGGTAAAGGACTTTTATATTTATTTCGATCCCAGTGCTGGAGTGAAAGCCGAACTCCGACGCGAAAGCGTCATCATTTCGATGGTACTAAAAATAAAAATGACACTATCAGCGTAGCCTACGAACCTACGCCGCGTAGGTCCGTGTGTACGCATTTGTTTGTAGTGGTAACTACTACACTGACGTGTCGTCTGTGTACGTGTCATCGGATAGTTTGTAAACAAACGATGCTTGCACTTGTTTTTCTCGACTGAAATTTCGTCGCAAGGCTGCAATATAATGTACGAAAAGACATAGGCGTATACAAGGTTTTATTTTTTAATTAGTTATTATCCAAACATGGACATTAGCAATGACAATAATGATGATGACATTAGCAATGACAATAATGATGATGACATTAGCAACGACAATAATGATGATGACATTAACAATGACAATAATGACAATGATGAAGATGATGTTGAAATAAACTGCAGTGAACATGATCAGCATAGTGATGATGATTAGTATAGTGATGATGATCAGTATAGTAATGATAATCAGTATAGTGATAAAGATATTGAGGATTTTAATGAGATTGAAGCGCTTAGAGAATGGGCTACAAAATATAATTTTAAGCACACACATTTAGATTCTCTACTGCAAATTCTTAGGAAAAAAATGCTACCAGAGTTGCCAAAATTATCCAAAACTTTTTTAAAAACAACATCTGCTGAATATGAAATAAAACAATTTAAAGAACCCAATGATGTGGTTATTGCGAATTTGCATATTTTGGAATCAATCATCAAAACATCTTCAAAGATGTGTAAATGCAGATCTGCATGAAGAGAATAAGCTGTATTTACAATTTAATATCGACGAGCTGCCACTTTTTAAGTCAAGCAGTCAACAGTTTTGGCCAATCTTATGCAAAATTTATTTTTATCCGGATGTATATAACGTATTTCCTGTGGCTATATACGCGGGTACCAAAAAGCCAAATAATTTAAATGAATAATTATCAGACCCAATCAAAGAACTGAATGCACTCTTAGAAGAAGGAATAGAAATAAATGGAAGAATATTTGAAGTGCATATTAAATGCTTTGTATGTGATCGACCAGCGCGCTCATTCATTAAGTGCATAAAAGGTCACGGTGGATTTTATTCATACGAACGCTGTACTATTTGTGGAGAACGATACAAAAAAGAACTGTTTATATTTCTACAAACTGTGACGAAAGAAGTGATAGATCTTTTCGAAATTTAAACCAACTTGAGCATTATACCAACATTTTGCCTTTAAATGAAATATCTCAACTTGATATGATTAATCATTTTGTATTGGACTTTATGCACCTTTGCTGTTTAGGTATCATGAAAAAATTATTAATTACTTATTGGTTAGGAGGCAATCGAAGCACTAAATTAAGTCAGAATAGTAGATGTCAATTGTCCCAGATTTTAATCAGTTTGCAATCACAAGTACCTGAGGATATATATAATATAAGGCTATAATATAAGGCTTTATGACTGAGCTCGTGGAAACGTACGCGTTTGGCTGCAGCGTTCAATTGTTTCTGCGCCTTTCGACCGATGGGAAAAGCGGCAGGCAACGCCTATCGCTTTTCCCACCAATCCTACGACTAAAAGTTTTTTACGTGTGATGGTCTTTAACAATTAGTTACCGAATTTGAAATGTTTACATGATTTTGACGTAACTTTTACTATGGCAACACTTCTTTTTATCACATAGATAGAGTAATTTTTGTGGAACTAGCGCTCATGCCATATTTTGAAGTAAGAAAAACTTATTTTTATTATGGTATGCAGTAAAAATTTACTCGGTATATATCTTTTACTTTTATTTACAATGCTAACTTTCATCCAACAAGTTTTGCCTTCGTAGCGTTAAAATTTTTACTATAAAAAAGTGTAAAAATTACGTTGCATTATTGTTTTTAAAAAAATAGCTATAGCATTTAAACTTATAATTACTTGATGGTCCGCAGCTACTGCCGTATTATAGTAATTTTGGATATAAAATTTTCTCCGTGTAGTAATTTCAACTATGTTTATTGTAAATGACAATATAATTAAGTTTCTATTTTTTTATTAGTAGCGGTGTTATCATTTACTGTCATAATTTATAAATTTTAGTATTCTATAAAGAGTATTTTATTAAATGTGCATTTTATTTATGAAAATTATGTTAAACACGAAGACAAAAAGTTAATATTTTATCAGGATAAAAAATAAACTTTTAAATTATTTTACTTCTTTAATTTTATAAGTTTAAAATAAAAATGTAAATAAAAAATTTTTTAATTTATCATTGATCGCATATAGTAGACATTAAAAATATGTGAATGTAAAACAAGTATATTTTGTACTTACGCTTCAAATTTTTTTTTACAGATTTTAACGTGAACAATTACTACCATGGCTCTCCTACAGCATTTAGTCAGCAATTACACTGAAATTTTGCAAAACCTTAAAGGTAAGTCCATGTAAATTTACTAACTTATTTCTCTCTATTTGATTGATTAAGATTCTTAATTGATACTTTTGTCGCAATGCTGAAGCAGTGTGAAAATATATGACTTTCTATATTTCATACTGCTTTAGCATTGAAATAAATATTAGTTAAGAATTTTAATCTATCAAATAGAGAGAAATAAGTTAAATTTCCATATGGTTGCGAAAAATCTCAGTGATCGCTTGCATCGTTCATTACAATACATAATTACAGCTGTTAACAAAATTGGCTTTTCAATTTCTACATCGCCAGCCCACGATAGATCGCCTCTACCTTGTCTTATTCTTTATTGTAAAATACTTTGAT